CGGACGGGTCGAACGGGGGGGCCCCCTCGGACTGTGCCACGCCCTCCCCTTCAGGGGGGAGGGTCCAGAGGGTCTCGGGGGGGGCAGGGTCGCCCTGAGGATGACCGCCGGGCCTATGCCACGTCGGGAACTTTGAGGCGATGGTCAGTGGCGGGGCTTCCATCCCCCTCGACTCCGCGTAGTCTGGCCTTTCCATTACCGCGGCGTCCTCCGTTTCAGGACGCGTTGTGGGGCTGTCGTTAAGAGCCGAGGACGCACCCTGATGGATCACTCCGCCACCTCCCAAGGTCCCACAGTGGCCTGCGCCGCCTCTGAAGGGGTCGGGGTCCAATGCGACGGGTGCCGCCTCGGGCTCGTAGACCGAGACGGCGTCCTCCGGGATGTTTAACCCCTCAAAGTGAAAAAAAGTGGAGTGATCCCCAGGATCAAAAAGCGAAGGGGTATTGTCAACCTGTTGTTGAGAAAAATTTGCCATATGGCTAGAAAAAAGATTGCAGCAAGCTTCCACAGAGACGCTGCCTTCCATTGCTGGTTCGGAGTACTACACACCTCTTCACTCCTATTGGCAAGATTTATGAAAATGGCTAATACGAAAACAATAATGGTAAAAATATATAACAATATTGTATATTATATATATATATATATAATATATATATATATATTATATTTTAGTAGCAAGTGATTTTTTTGAAATGCAATGTATTAGCTTGATAAAAGAGTTTTCTTTCTATTTTTTAAAATATGACTCTATCAAGTTACGATATAAAGAACTAAAAATGCAGACAGAAGATTAAAGTGAGAGAGTAAGAAAAGGTTCGTTTTCCAATTAACGCTTTCCGTGAGTTTCAATTAGAACAACGATAAAGAGTGAAACAAGCGCTCACACGTAAAACGGGATCCGAATACCACACAATTTTTTTTATTGTAATATTTTAACTAAAGAAACCTGATCACTCATTGTCAAGAAGAATCTATTACGTTTGCCAACCTTACTTATAACTTAGTACATGGAATAACAAAATACAGCACAAATAAGGCGTAGACAAGGAGTTCGCACCTTTTGCCTTTCCCCCCTTTGTCTATGCATTTGGATGTTGATCTTGATATTGCTGCATAGCACGTGCTTTCTGCTCCATAGCATTTACCACTTGATTGTGCTGTTTTTGCTTTACCAAAATAGTCTTTTCAATCGAATCCATGCTTTCCTTAATTTGCGAAGCACGTGTGTTAAAGTAAGATTTAGCGTGCTCCATCGACTTCTCAAGAAAGTAACCTGTCCCAACATCTACCAAGACCTTATCGCTGGGTATAACGGTGCCTTTGACAAATAAAGAAGAGGTCATACATACTAACACATCTTGTTTCTCTGTCCCCGGCGTCCTTTCTCCATTTTGCTTTGTCATGTTTTCACAAATTTGTCGGTATTGCTCTATGGCGTCGCAGTTCTCCAGGTAGCGCGTGCGACCGTTAAAAAGCCCATCGTATGCCGTTCCAAGGGTAGAAATATCGCTGTCCAGCTGTTGTTTAACTCCATCCAATTGCTCCAGTGGCAGTTGATAAACATTAACACCTTGTGAGGACATAATTTGTACTGAAAATTGAATGCTGAAATCGATATAAAAATTTAATAGAAAGATGGATCCTTTTTTCCCCTGAAGCCGATTATTTGGTGACTTGAGGAATGTGAGCTTGAAAAGATTTCTACTAGAAGAAAATAATGGAATTCATTTAACAAACAAAGTGATAACATCACAGTCGACACTAATATAAGAAATTATGCCAAGGGAGCGCTCTTGATAAGGTTTAACGTAATAATTATCAAGATCGCAAAATGCAATGAGATCAAGCGAATTTCCAAATTAACTTCAGTAATCATACACAATTTCCGAGGGCCCGATATCTTTTATCTTTACAGATAAAGAAGACATCATCGAGGGAAAGTCGATAAAGATCTCAACCGTGTTGTACTTTAATCAGAAAAGACATTTTAAAAATATATGCAGAGCCTTACATATACGTTTGTGTAGCTGCATCTATCACTAACGGAGGTGGAGCACACTCCAGCAAATACACTGGCTCGAATTCAGAATGTTCCATGTATGGTAGCCCAGGAACTAAGTTGTAGTACTCTCCGCGAGCATTTGGGAGAAACACACGTGGTACCGGATCATCAGGAATGAGATAAAAAATAAGACTAGGCTTGTCTGGTTTGTATGGCAAAGTCTTGTGGTCCCAGTGACAAGGTATAATCATGACTATGTATATTTCTATGTCAACTGAGAAGGCATCGAGGTGGGTGGAGGAGGGAAGAAGAGCTCAGAGCGCTTTTCCACGATTCATTTTTATGAAGTTCGCTGTCATACCTCGAGTTCACCGCATCTTTATTTCAGTATATTGAGCAACAAACACTAATTTAAGCAAGGAAATCATCAATGAAAGGACACCTTATAGTTTTAGCAACAGTAAAAAGGAGTCAACTGAACACTATTTTCTGTACTTCAGGATGAAGGGAGGACACACACACACACACGCTTAGGAAAGATATGCTGTGTATAGGAGCAATTCATTACATTTTTTTGCTTCCCACTATACCATAATATCCTTCATAATTTACGTATTCCTACTTTTTCATCTTCGAGACAGGTGTAGTCAATTTTTCCGATAGCGGGGTCAATGCAAGTGGTTCCATAGCTAAGGGATGCGGAATGCTGGCTTTTGAGTCGCCTGTGGCGGCGATAATGCTATCAAAAGTCGCGCTTGCCTTACGGCGGATCCGCGCATCGCCCTTTCCCTCGGCACCTCCTTCCAAATCTGCCCTGTTTACATCACAGTCGGGGTTTGCGTATTTCGCGAGGAGGACTCTCGTCGTGCAGTGGTACCCCTGGGCGTGGGAGGACGGCACGCCTGCGGCTGTTGGGCGGTCAGCAGACACCGTCGTCATGGACATCTCATCCTTGTTTGGAGGCCAATGTGGCGTTAGTCCGATCGAGGAATTCCAAGAGCCATGTTTGTCTTTCCAGTGGTCATTATGTGAACCACTATCCTTCCTATAGTTCTCGGATTTTTGTGTATTGTGGGGATTCTGGATAGTGTCATTCGGAGGTTCTGGAGGTGAGTAAGTTAGTGTAGTGGTATCCGAGTAGCACCGGAATGTCTTTCGTACCTTCTGCGCCGCCGCTAGGTTTGCTAGTGGGTCAAAATCAGTATCCATTTTAACCGTGCCTGAGGCCGGATCCGTTTCACTCCTGGGGATCGAAATGTTTGAGCTCAGACCCCCCACAATACTGCCTCGCTCGGTGTTGTAGTCCTCACCGCGTAGAAGAAAGCTCATATGCCGTTCATTCACCTGGCCGGTTTGGCCTCCCCCGGTCAGGTTCACCGACTTCACGAGCCGTTTGTAACAAATGTACCGGTACAGCCACCAGGCGCCGTAACCAAGCAGCGCCAAGGGGATCACCAGCAGTAACAGCGCTAACCACCTCCAGGCTGAAGGCTCCGGGCCCCGATTCCCTGTGTCAGCCATCAGACCGAACTTCGGTTTTCCAACTTGGGAAGTGAAAGGGGGGGGGGGGTGCTGTTACAGACAACCCCCTTATCGTATTGCGCCAGGATCCCTGTGGGAGCTCACCGTCCGTGACGCTTTCCGGTGTTCGCCTTACGGCTGAATCACGGGAGTGAGCAAAGGCTACCGTCGGAGGCTTGGGTTGGGCTCTTTCACACTTGGTGGGCCTCCTCGCGACGTTGTCCATGCCGTCGGTGGGAGCGTCGTGGGAGGACCGACTTGCGCTAAAGTGCGTCAGGCGCGGCATTCGTCGCCCCGTCTTCGTCTTCGGTGGATGACAATTTCGAAGAGCATTTGCCAACCTGGGGCCATCGCCGCCGCCAGTAGGTTTACTAGAATGATTTCCCCAATTCATCGGGTTCGCCAAACGCCGACGGGCAGCAGTATACCCGAAACCGGTGACACATGTGCTGTTATCAGTGCAAGGTGCGCAAATTGGTGTAGTTGTTTTCTCACAAGGAGAATCTTCCCCAGAACGAGCGGGTAAAACAAACACCGATAAAAATATAATGATCGTGCAGATATAAAACGAAAATGAAACGGTACTGTTGGCTACGTGCCGTGGCATTATAAAAGTTCGGGATACTTTTCTCACTAGCCCTCAAAAAAACTTACAAACAAAGAAAGATGAGAGTATATAGCGCAGACCTTTTTTGTAGGAGCTTTGTGAGCAACCCTTAAGGGGTATTCAAACTCATTCGATGAAATAATGCGTGGGATTCTTTCAGGTCGTGTTTCACTCGATTCTTTTTACAGTTGCTTTTCCGTTTTTTCTGCAAAAATCACGCTTGAGAAACGCACATGTATCCTTCTCTATTGGTGATGAAATATTTCTAATCGAATAATAGGTATCTAAATCCATAAGCATGTCAAGTAAATGCATGAATATACAGAGATAAAAAAGGTGTACAAAGGCAAGGGAAATTTTATTGATGAGTCATAAGCATTTCTGACATATTCGCGTATTTGTATATCCACCCATTAGAAAAGACTTTCCTTTTCTCTTACAGGTTTGAGAAGGCAAGTTGAAATACGCATTGGGTCTGATAACAGCAAACTCATGCACATGACTGCAGTGAACAAAACTGAACTGTACAAGGATTCACACAATTATACCATGCTATTTCTAACAATCAAGTTCATATAATCAATATGAATAATTTTTCTATAGAGTGCAACAAGCAAACATAAAACACATAGCAGATTTAGAGCCCTCATTTTATACTTTTTTGTTGTTTTTATGCAGCTCCACTATAGTTGCAAAATTATCCAAGAGTGAACAATAGTCCAGTGACTGAAAGATTTACAGCAATCCTCCCCTTCAAAAAAAAGAAAATCATGCGTCCACTTGTCCCCAACCACGTTGGTAGCCTCACCACCTGTTTACGGCATCCTCGTTAATCGGGCGGTGCCAGGCCTGCCCTGTTTCCTGTAGTTTTCGCATTTTCTTCTCGCGATCCGCCACCTTTGCGCGTGTCCATAAACTTTCCGCGACGTGTTTGTTGTCCAAGTACGCCATCCAATTCTTCTTGTGCAGGCGTCCCTCGTCCATGGGCGTATACGCGGCGTTCAGCTCAAATGGCAAGACCTGCTTTTTCGCCCCAGGGGCACCAGGAGGGCGGTATTGTGGGCCATATTTCGTAAAATACTCCTTTCCGCGCAGCGTGTGAGACCAACGACGGCCTTGTGGGCTGCGAAACCACTGGTTTAGCCATTCATGCCGACGCCGCACCTCGTCGGTGGGCTGATACGCCTTCGCGGCTGGGATAGTACGAAATGTCAACTCAGGTTGCGGCCCGTGGACATTTAAGGTCGCATCCAAACTCTCAATCGAGTTTTCCGAAACGGTGTAAAACTCCGGGTTGTCTCGGATCCCGAGGACAATTGGTTTTATATCATTTAAAAACTGCTTGTAGATATTCAACTCGGCTTGCTTCATCAATTCGTGACCCTGCTGGCAGGCATTGGCATAGGCCGAAAAGATAACTTGCTTGCGGCGGTATTCCGTCAGTTCCTCCAGACATGGATGAACGCGAACGCGCTTCATGTGGCCTCCGGGTGTCGTCACCACCTCCACTCGTCCACCCCACTCCGTCCCCACCACTTCCATTCGATCAAATCGAATTTGATGTTCGTATTTGTTATTGTAAACATACGCCAAGATGCGGTGAAATTGCCGCTCCGGCATTAGGCGACGATGATGAGCCCACAACGCCCCACGCACTCGTTCGATGATGCGTCGGTAAACCTCCATCGTCGACTAAGCGGGGTTTCAAAATTTCCTATGGTTGAATAGGAGAGTGCACTTTTTACACAATGGATACCGATGAAGGAAAGAAACGTCCCTCGACGACGAAACGTCGCGTATTGTAAAAGCTTGGACCTTTTCTAGAGACCTTTTGTCGGGCAGCCTTCTAATGTAGGGACGATGATAAAGGGGAAGAAAAATACTTGTGGGTAAAGACACATTCCACTAGGTGGTTTTGGGCATTACACAAGCTTTCATTAACCAATTATATATATATATATATATATCCATATGAATATATCCCAACGTGACTGATGCTTCTTGAAGCATAGATATCCCTTACACGTGGCAAAAGGACTGCCCATCGCGAAGTTGTCAACACTCAGCCTACTTTGTATGCCTAGTGAACCGGTGTCGAATACGAGGCGGTGTGGCTTTCATCATTTTCGCGCCCGAGCACCCTCGGGGTTGGCCAATAAGTATCCCGCTTCCCGTAGTGCTTCCACAGCCCCGGCGGCATCGAGCGCCAGTTAATTTTGGCCGTGGCATTGAAATGCATCTGCTCCCTCGAGCGCAGCGTCCGGGCCTGGCGAACTTCGTTGATGTATTTCGCGGCCGTGACCTCGCCCTCAAACTTCTCGAAGGAATTTGTCAAGGAGCCGGCGTCACGCCAATACGCGGCCCGATCCTTCGCCCGCATTCCTTTCATCAGGGCGTTTTGCTTTTCCGCCTCGATGGATTGGGCGAGGGCCCCCACCGCCCCCCAAGGGGCCTCCGAACGGTGTTGATGAAGCAGTTCTTTAAGCCGCTCCCCACGCCATTCGGCCTGGCGGGCGTTGACTTTACTTTTTAGATGAACGAGGGCCGGCCCGCAGCGTTTTCCCGCCCGACACTCCGACAGCCGCCCATCCGCGTCCTGAACCATCAACGCCGGGCGATAACCCCGGGCCTCCCGCCGACGCCACTTTTCCTCCTTCACCCCGCGTTTGGTTTTCGTGGGAGACCCGGCCTTCACGCGAGGGATCGCCGTCTGCGCGGAAAATCCCTCCATTCGGTCCAAAAAGTGGGAGATCGGCCCTTTCCCAGGCGTTGGAGGGGCCCCTGAGGGGGTTGGGGATTCGCTAAAAGTCCCGTTTGGCGTTGTTGAGGATCGCGGGGGAGCCCCCAGGGGGGAACCCGCGGGTCCCGGGGGCCATCCCACCACCCGAGACGCCTCTGGCTTCATCAAACTTTGAAGAATCGCCGTTGATGGCAAATAAGGGGAATCCGTGGGTGAAAAAGGCGAATTCGCAGGGATTGGCTCCTCTGGAATCGCATCGCGTCCGCTTTCCGCTTGCGGGGTTGGGGGTTTCTCGTTAAAGGCCAAACTTGACGCCTCCGTGGGCGCTCGAGAAGGCGGGTGATAGCGCAAATCGATCGTCGCCGAATCCACGCCGCCGATCCCCGAGTGCACGCGAAAACGAACCGCACCGTAGGAGGTGGCCTCCCGCCGGATCGGCGTTGGCCATCCCCGCCTCCAATCGCGCTCGCTGGGGCGGCGATAGCCCCCCCCCCGGCGTTCTTGCGGATCGCTATCCCCTTTGGGGGCCGAAAGCCCGCTCGATGGATTCCCCAGGGGCCTCGAATTCGGGGGTGGGATGGACAGGCGGTAGACCCGATGGTCCGCAGAATCCGCCTCCACGCCAAGTCCCTTATCTTTCGTGTGTTTCGCGGTTGGCCGAGAGGGCAAAAGAGGGATGGGGGGTGAATTGGGCCGATGAAAAGCTTCCACATTCTTCGTTTGGCATGGCGGGCGTCCCGAGTTATGGGCCGCCTCCAGCCGCCTCGACTCTTGGAGAAGCGCCTCCTTCATTAGTGCGGTTTGCTTGCGGTGGAGTAATTCGCGCAGCCGATCCCCCGGGATCATCCCGGAGGATTCCGTAATAAGCCCTCGCAGCACCTCGATGTTCGTGCCGTCCCTGGAGGAGGTTGGGATAATAAACGGGAAGACTTTTTGATATTTTTTGCGTTTCGCGGTGATGAGGGTGTAGATTTGCCGCATCACGGCGCAGATGCGAGAGTGCGGGACGGCATCGCACTTTGTGAGGACGGGAAAAAACACCCCTTGGACGTTTTCGAGCCATTGAAAATATTTGAGGTCGGTTTGGGTGAGGCCGCGATCGCAATCAATGCAAAACAACACCGTATTGACCGAGCGCCGGACACCGAAGTAGGCATCCGTCAGCTCGATCGCGGCGTCTCGCCAGCGATCGCTCATCCCCTCAATCCCGAAGCCGGGGAGGTCGACAAAGGTCAGCTGAAGACCCCCGCCCGGGAGCTTGACCAGGTTATGATGGTTTCGTGCGTGAAAGGCCCGCAAGGCGTCGGGGCTGACGCTTTGGTAGAACGAAATCGCCCGCGTGGTGTTCGGTATGCTGCTGGTCTTCGCGACGGACTGCCCTAACAACGCATTCAAAAGGCTCGACTTCCCCGCACACGCCTTGCCCACCAACACGATCTCTTGGTATAGCTCGTTGATCTCGAAAAAGTACCGATGATCGCGAAAAATATTCCCCTCCCGCGCTCGTCCGCGATGGGGGGATGCGCGCGAGGTCGCCGCGGGGTGTTCCGCCCGGCCTGGAGTGGGTTTGCCAAAATTATCCGCCCCCGCCTCCACCATGGGCGATGCAGAGAAAGATGCAAAAGAAGAAGCACTCAGGGAAGGTGTTTGGTCGACTTTGGTCCCCGACTGATTCACCAAAAAGTATTCCTGCTCAACCATCAGTTGATTGCCGAGTTTGACGGCCTCTTCCGTGATTTTGCCAAAACTTAGCGGTGGCGGCGGCACCATTTTCCCCCCGTACGTATAATCCGAGGCGGATGGATGGGTTATTTCATAAAGCACCCGACGCCGTTTTTCGATTATCGCATCGCGCTGCGCCGCAAAGACATCGGTGACGAGATCAATCACATCCTGCCCTACTCCCCGTGCGGCAGGGCTATCAGAATTCGTCCATTCGCCTTCGTGAATTAGCTCCCCTTTTGTATAGGGCGGGCCATCCCCCACGGCGTTTGCGTGGTCCGAACTTTCAAGCATCGAGAGCAGCGCCGTCGGGGTATCCAGCACCACATCCTCGTCGTCTTTGCATATCGTTTGGCCAGGCCCGGAAGAGGGCAAAGGGGTCGGGAAAAAGTCCGCCCGAGCGACATCGTCGGGGGCCCATAAAACCAGCGGATTCGAAGGCCGCCTTCGCAGGCGGGTATGCGGGGCGAGGCCGCCCTTGGGTCCCCAGCCAACCTCACCGAGCGGTTCATACACCGGCTTCGCGGTAAATGGATCGGAAGAGCGGATGGGTGTTTGGCCGTTTTCATTCGCATCGCTATCAGCCTCATCAAACGCATGGCGGTCCGGTAAAACCGAATATCCTTCCCGCTTGCGGCGTAAACCCGCGCCGTCTGAGCATTCTCCGAGTGGGAGGTGTTGGGTATGGATGCATCGAATACTCCCGCATTGAATGGATGGTGCCCCCCACGCTGCCTTTCGAATCCAAAAGCGATCGAACTTCGGCCTTTTCCAAGTCGGAGAAGCCAAGAACGAAAAGGACGGCCCAACAACCGCCACTTCCCCTGAAATCGGCGGTTTCCCTTCCGCAGGCGGCGGACAAAGAGCTGTCGAGCCCGGCGCCTTTTGCCACGACGTTTTTAAACACCCACGCAGGTTTATCGAAAGTAAAGCCAAAATAAAAGCGCAGGCGGTGGGCTGGGCGTGGTATGGCGTCACTTTCCCCGGCTTTTTCCTTTCCACAGTGGAAAGGCCTCGCGTTTGGCAAAGCCGACGTCGCGGCGAAGGCCCTGGAAGATAACCCAGGACCTGCGCGCTGCGGTGAGGCCCTCGGGTGAACCCAACAGAGCGAAGCATTGCCTGGACTTTGTCAGAATCCAACTGCTCTACGAGATCTTTGGGGTACTATGGGACACGCCAAAGAGCTGAAAATTGCCATTTTTTTTTTTTATGAAAGGAAAAGGAGGGTAAAAATGGGAGTGTAAACGTCCGAAACTCAATCATAGAGGGGAAAAGGCTCTTAACATTTGCCTTAGGATAACCATCATTGGGGTCACCAGAACCATATAGTGTTATGACACCATGCGTTCATGGTACCCCCTTTTTTTAATTCACTAATATATGAAATAAAAAAGTAGATGTTTTCTACAGAAAAACATGCGAACATAAAAATAAGCCTTAAATTTCCTAAAATGTAAATATATAAATCGATATAAATGCATTTTTTCCCCTCTTTCACAGTTACGATGATCGAAAGCAATATATATATAATTTTTTTTTATACGGTTTTTCATAAGCTTCGATTTATAACTTTTCGGTGCATTTGGAAGAGGATTATATGCTACAAAGAGTACTCTCGTTAGAATAATAACTTCTAGACATACTTAAAAAGAGAATACAATAAGAATGAACCATACAATCAAATTAAGCACATATAACATCATCAAGTACTTATAGGAGAAAGCTCCAGGGGTTTTTCCCTCCTTGCAATTAATAGATTTTTTTGTTGGGACTTCAGAAAGGCTAACCTCTATTACATTTTCCACGCAAGTGCCCATTTTGCCCTGATTTATAGTGCATCACCAATAATCTTGTGGTGTTGATCCAGTAACCTTTAGCTATACAAAATCCATTACTTTTGTTTTTCCCCAAAGTTTGCTTCAACCATAACTTTTTTCTACTCATTGTATATATTTTTATTTTTATTGTTCGAAGATATCGTCTTGAATCGATGAATACTACGATGTGGAATTCTATTAATAAGGGATGTCCTACACATTGTTTACCTTTTCGTTCTGTTATGTTTCTAATAAGCACACAAGGTTTTCCCTTTTAGAAGATTTCCTCCTCCCGTTTTGCAGCACGAACGTAAAACAACACACCCTGCAAATCAGACTTTAGGGTTGATAATTCTTCTTTTTCCTCCTCCAGCACCTGCCGCATATCACGAGCCTCAGTGCCTTCATCCTGCATTTTCTTCAGTGACTCTTCCAATGCTTTTTTCCTCTCATCAGATATACGTTGGGACTCATCCAGCTGTTTTTTCAACACCTTACATTCTTCCATGAGTTCTGTTAGTGAGCTTTTCAAGGCATCAACCTTTGCGGACGTACGGACTTCAATATTACCCACACGGTTCTGCCGGTCGATCTTTTTCCTTTCATCGGACACGAGGTTGCGATTGGCGACGCGGGCCGTACCACGATGTTGGTGGAACAGGTGCTCGTCCTTGATCTGCTTCAACCGTGTGCGAAGCTCATTCAAGCCTTCCATGTCTTCTTCAAAACGTTCCTTGAGCTTCGCTTTACCCTGCTCACGGTTGTCGGTATGATTATTTATCTTTGCATCCTTGTCAGCATAGAGCATATCAGCTTTTTCACTGGCCAACATGTACATTTTTCGGACATCGTAGACCCGCTCATTGAGGTTCGTGACGTCGATGGTGGACCAGTCCATTTCATCTGGGTTCAATGCTTGACACTCTTCCTCCCAAAGCTTATGCAATTGGGACTGTTGCGCCTCATCCTCCAGCACTGAAACAAGCTTCGCGACCTGCGGGTCGAATTCGTTGACGAGTTTCTTTGAATTACGAAGTTGCACCCGCAGCCGCGCCTCGTCCTCCTTCACAAGCTCCAGCTCCTTCCGCAGGCTCATCACTTCGCTATGGAGCTGCAGGCGCTCCTCGACGTCGTCGTCCATCTCCATATTGGCCCCCCTTTGCTGCATGTGGAGGTTGCTCAGGTTGGGGGTCCCTCCGTGGAAAGAGCCCGCGTTTGAGCCCGCGCGTTGGGAGCCCAAGTTCGAGGGCGCGCGTTGGGAACCCATGTTCGAGGCCACGCGTTGGGAGCCCCCAAGACCCTCCCCCCCATCTGCCCACAAAGTGCTCGGATCCCTACCCTTCGGGAGCTCATCTCCGAAACTCTCCTGAGGTTGAAACTGAATGTTGTCGGAGTCTTCATGCTCGAATGGGGTGTGGGCCATCTCATCGTCGTGGTAGTCCGCGTGCGGCGTCGCGTGTTGGTGGTCCTCAGCCGGTTGGTGTATTGGCTCCATCTCGCGTAGTGAATTATGGTGTTAGCCCTGTAATATCCCCCCCGCAATAGATTATCCCGAATAGACCTTGAAACGAGTCCTTTGCTCTACAGTCAGTCGATTGTGTGGTTGGTGCGTTGCGGTAGCCCTGTGTTGAAACGCCAAGCCGTGCCACACCTTGGATGAATGCTTTGTAATTTTCGAAGAAAAGTAACAAATCTGTGACAAATACGGAGAAATAAGGGAAAAAAGGAGAGAAAAAAGGGGGAAAAGACGGTGATTGTTTTAGTTACAAAATGAACCTCGTGACATCAGTAAGGGATGACGTTAGGGTGGGGAGTTAACACAGTAAACCGCTAAGGGGTAACCCCGAAGCGGGAGAAATTCTAGAAAGGAACTCTTATTTATGAAAACAGGAGAAAATGATATGTAGTGATATAAGAGAAAATACCATAAAAAATTCGGAGATATCCTATCTTTTCTATTTTTCTTCGTATTTTTTATTCCACTTTTACAAAGCCAAAAATCAATAAAGCAGTTAGTTACATTTATACAAGTCACCAACTTGATTGAAGAAACTTATTACCTTTTTTATCAAGTGGTGCCTAGTTCTTATTCTCACAAAATGGAGAGCTAAGATACTAAGAATAAGTACATCACATTTTATTGATAAAAAAATAGTAAAAAAGAAAATCATTGGTATGAGCAATTATATAAAAATACTAAATAACATTTCAGTGCATCGTTTGTTTTCTATTATTCTTTTTATTTCATGCTTACTCACAATAGTGACGCCAGTTTTTTATCAATAATAAAAATAATAAAGCAAACAGAAAAGAGTTATTATTTTTTTTTAGCTGTGATCTATTCCAACCTTGGGAAACTGGAAATAAGATCTTTTAGATCATCAGAGTAGGATTTCTAGAATCCATGCACACATAATAGGTGGATAAATAAATCGCAATAATATAGGAAAAAACAGGTAAAAAATGAAGGCTTATTTTTTCCAAAATGCATACCCTATCAACCTTTTCTTTTTTGTAAAAAAGGATATAATGAAAAGAGACAGGAATCTGACGTGATTGAAGAGTAGTATTTTTACTATTATCATTCACAAATGTAAATAACTCGTGAATATGGTTCAAAAAGACATATAAAGAACGAAGATGCGGTAGGACACTTAAATGGACTTTAGTTATCATCTATGTAAATAATGATAATAATAGAGATCCAAAAGATGAAGGATTGCATAGGAAAATATTAAATAAATAAACATTAAATACCTATTTACTCTGTAGATATCGCTGCAAGATAGAAACTATTGTTTCATTTTTTACTTAAGCTAATTGTCTTAGAGTTAGGGCATATGGGGTATATATATATCTATATATATATATATTCCGCAAGCTTTTTTTTGTTTTATACTGAAAATAAATTATCCCAATGAAAGTTGAGAAAGAATCTTTTCAGAGCATAACATATGTATCTTAATAAAGTTTTACGCATTAATATATATTTCATTATCAAAAAATAAAATCTAATCGTTTTTGCGGTGTGAAAAAAAATAATGCAATGAAATTTGGTAACGTACATATAGCAAAAAGGACATTTTATGGAAACGTATTGCCAATGGTGCTGTCAAATCATCACTTGTCAATTTTAGTCAGAATACACAAAGTATTCTATATGTGATGGTTCTCGAACTTCGTGCTCTGAGGTTTAGTCTTTTTACTTTACATAGTTTCCTTTAAGTTTCAGTTTTGAAATAATAGATTAGCACATAACGAAAAACAAGTTTCTATGTTATATCTATTTTACTATAGATATATTTTTTTCTTGAACACTAGTGGATATATTGGAATGAATAAAACTTCACCCACAGGAAAATCAAAATAATAAAATTAATAATATATACCCAAAAAAAAACCTGACAATAGACAAAATAAATAACGAGAAGAAATAGCAAAAAAAATAACCTACAAGTGAATGTAGCAATTATTAAATCTTTTAACCTGATAATTCTTAGTGTGTGCTTTCGCCCGGCTGCTGCACATATTACTTCAACCTTCTTCACCCTCAAAAATATTGATATACTAATCCACATACTTACGAATGCTGGATATAGATATATAGTGGGACGGGTTTTGGGAATCTCAAAATGTTCTTCAGAAGGGAACTTGCTTCCCTTTTCTCCTCCCCCCCTCAGGAAACTCAACTAAGGGCAAAATAATTAGTAAATAACACATTCATATTTCTGAGAGCAGGTGTCTAAGTAATTCACCAAGCGCAAATAAAAATAGTGATTAAAACTCCAAGGTACAATTTAAATTATAACATGTAGTATTTATTCTTTTTTGCATGGAGAATACATTTTTGCATTTATCTTAATCAAAGGTGTGCGTGTTTTCAAATATTTAGAAACTAAAAGTCTCCCGCTACAACACAGAATGAATAACAGATAAACTGCATTGGATTTTCAAATCTATAAAGAAAAAAGTGTCCTGAAATAAAATTAAATATATATTTTTTCAGTAATAAACAATGTAAAAGCAAATAAATGTGATATTTTCTGGGAATAAAATACTGTTATTGTATAATGGATAACATAAAGATACCAATGATAAGAAAAAAACATTAAAAATTTCCTACATAAAGTGGAATAGTTTCATTGTTTTTTTTTTTATTATTAGAGCTCATTACGTTGCTATCCTTACAAAACAAATTAATACCGTTAAGCATCACGCCGGTGTATGGGTTGTGTTGCCAGCAAGGGACGTTCTTCGGTTGTGTGGCGGGCTTCTCTAAGGGTTCGTGGGTGAGGTCTTTGTTGTAGTTCTGGTACTGAAAGTTGCGTATCACACCCTCGGTATCGAGTGAAAGTGGGTTAGGAAGGTTCAGGCCGAAGTCGTTAGACTGGCTGGGCTCCGGGCAGGACTTGCTGAAACCCTCCGGGGGCCGGGAGGGGGTGGTTTTCACCTCCAGTAACGGGTCGCGCGGGAGGCCAAAGGAGACAGCCCCGGAGAAGTTAAACAGGGAGGTGTTGGACTCGTTTTTGTGCCCGTTTTCGTGGCTCATCTTGGAGGAGTCGGAGGTGCCGGACTGGGTGCCCGGGGTCGGGCCATCGGTCAACACCCGGATCTTGTCATTGACGAGTGTGGATAAGGAGGCGGTGAAGTTCGTGTCGGGGCAGCTGTCAATCGAGTGAGGCTGGGAGACCCGTTGGGTGAGCGAAGAAGGCTGGGGTGCGGTATGTTGAGGGGGGGGGATCCTAGCCATGGCGGTGGCTTCATCGTTGTTGGGCTCGGAGGATCGACAGCCGGGGATTAACAGCCTCCGAAAGTGTTTTTGCCTGAATCGTAAGGTAGAAAAGGAGGGGCTCGTATCACAACCGGATTCCTGCATATAGGCGCCAGTATTACAGGGGCGTGCGTTATCAACATTCCACATGTAGTATGGCCTCGCGTGTCGATGCTCTTTATATTTCGGTGCGGCGTCGTTGGGGAAAGGAGGGTAGAAGGTGTCGCCGGAGTTCCGCCACCCGCGCTGGTTCACGAAGTTAAAGTGCATATCGTCCGCATAGGGCATTGGAAACGCTGTATTGTAATGGTGATGGCTGTGAGGGTAGTGGATGTTGCATGGTGATTTATTGAATTGTCTATGATCTACCGATATTCCTATTGTGTGAATCGAGTTTGGGTTTATAAATACGATTCTTTTGCACAAATGTAGGAACTTACATTCCTCCGCGTAAAGACATCGATCCATTACGTGCATACGGCAAAGGATTGTATTACTGGCATCCAAAACTACCTTCGGTTTGTCGCCATTTTTTATTGTTCGAAGGGGAGGGGTCTCCAGCATGTCAACCTCTGCCAATAGGCGCCGAAGGGCTAGTGTATAGCTGCAATATTTGATTGGAATGTAGGAAGATCCATCGTCAGCATCATTTTTGTAACCTGAGTTCATAAAATACCCTGGAATGTACAATACCATATCCTCCAGCGCATATTGTGGAGTGTAAGTGATGGAACGAGTTTCTCCAGAGTCATTACCTGGAGTACCATCCATTTTTGTATTGTCTTTGTCATTCGAGAGATCCAAAGGTAGTTCTCGAGTCCCGGGGTTAAATAAGCCAATACGGTCTGTATCACCATGAGCCATACAGCACCGCGGCAATTTGCCTATTTCATCCCGCAATTTCATGACGACATGATAATCAGCATGGATTTGAAAACAATTGGACCCTTGACGACAACGATTGTTCAAGTAAAGCTGGCAGAGTGAGGGCAGCCCACTTCGATTCTGTGCGCGGGTTTTTTGGATATGATTTATGGGAATACGAAGCATGCATGTCATGGGATCGATTACTACCGTAAAGGACTGATTTCGATCATGGATGTTGTTATGGGTTTCATTCCAAACAGTAACATGGCGATGCGACATTTAAGAAATAAGCAGCTTTTTAAAAAAAGGAATTATGCTTAAAAATGAAGTACAGATTGAATAGTGATTTTATGATTTAACTGAATTTATCTAAAAAAGAAGAAGTGATCCAGTAAATTAATCACATGAAGAAGGTACATTGAATAGATGAACATATGCTCTGAAGACATGAATGACGATTTTTTTCCATCAAGACAGATTTAACACAAGAGGATTAGGGGGAATAAATTCCAAAATAATCATAATAATAATCAAAGAATTAAAAAGTAAGCAGAATAATAATAATGGCAGATATATATTCAGTACAATAGTTTGCATTTTTTTTTCGATTGGCATAAAAAAGTGAAGAAAAGAGGATAATTCCATAACACCTGAAGAAATGTGGGCAAAAAAAACTATTTTTTTTACTTA